AACGCTCAACATTGTTTGGTGACTTACAATGCAATAATCTTGTTACTGTAACCGTTAATCCACATGTTTACACAATTTTTTCAATCCTTTAGTTTCCTTGTAATTTCCTTTAAAAATGACAGTCCAGTAACTGGTTCCTTAGCCCTATAGAAGCAAAGTATGAATGAAGCGAAAGAAAAGGCTCAGCGCTGAGGTTTGGCCTTAACTGGCATGAATCTCGGTAAGATCACATGACCTAAGATGCTCGGACAGACTGGTTCGATTACACAGGATAGCCAATGTCAGAAACTGGCATTTATAATATCTGCTAAAAGCCTGAAGACCATTACTAGTTAATGCTTTCAATAACAATGGCACACCAATACTTGCAGGCAATGTACCAAGGAACCCACCACTTTGTGTCTTTGTTGCTTTGAAAATAAAAGGACTTCCTTACCTCATAGCTTCTGCTAGTTCTATTAATCTGGCTTGCAGTAAACATATCCTGAAAGGGGATAAGTTGTGCTATCTTATCAATGGGTATCATATAACTATTCAGGCTACTTTGACCATGTGAACTATTTCGACCAATTAAAATAGGTTTTGCAATTTGTGCAGTTTATTTGTGTCTGCTTCTTTGACAATTTAAGCGGTCGAAGCATTGGAGCCAGCTTGTGAAGTTTGTGCAGTTGAACGGATTTAGTTATCTACGTCTTTTATCCTATAGAATCATTTCAATAAGCTAGGCATTTTCTCATTTAAGCTAGATTGACCATGTAAAAGTGAAACCAATAAAAGTAGTTTGACTATTTTGACTTCTTAAACCAATTGGGCAAGATTTTGCCATCCGTCTTCTTTAACTAGTAGAACCTTTTAAGCTAGTTATGCATTTTTTCTGGTTGAACCATTGAAGGTAGTTTGGCCATTTGAACAACTTTAACCAACAAAAAAAGATTGTGCAATTTAACGGTCCTGGCTACTTTGACTATTTAACGAGTTTCAAAAAGCTTGATTGTGCAGTTGATCATATTGAGCAAAGTTATTCGTTTTGTCCTGTGGAACTAATTAACCCAGATTAAGCACTTGAACAACATCAATCATTTCAGATAGATGGTGCAGTTTGTGCACTTTTACTGTTTCTGCCACTTTGATTATCTTAACTAGTTAAAACAATTAAGTTAGATAGTGCTGTTTGAGCAATGGAACAGTTTAAGCTAGCTATACATCTTGTTCAATAGAACCATTTAAGCCAGTTTGACCATTTGAACTACTTTAACCAATTAAAAAAGATTTGCAATCTGTTCAATTTGACTGTCTCGGGTGGTCTGACTGTTTAAAGTGCTTTAACAAGTTGAGATAGATGGTGCAATTTTTCTCAGGTGACCTCAGTTTGACTGTTAAACCAGGTTAACCATTTCAGCTAAATTGCCCAGGTTGTGAAGTTGAACTGATTAGGTTAGTTATCCAATGTTTTTCAATTGTCCACTTAGGTTGTTTAAATGGAGAAAATGCATAACTATGCATTTTGTCTACTTGAACAGGTTAGGCTTGATTGACCATTTGAACTAGTCTAACCTATTGACGCAGACTGTGTTAATTGTGCACTTATTCTGCTTTTGATAATTTGACTATTTTACCGTTTGAACTATTTAACCTAGTTATGCATTTTGTCCGGTTGAGCTTTTTGAGCTAGTTTCACCTTTTGAACTACGTGTGTATTTAAATATCTTCGCTGGTTTGACAATTAACCAGTTATTCAAACTATGGAAAACAGTAAACCTGCAAAAACTGCAAAATCTCTTTCCACTGGTTAGACTTGTTCAAATGGTTAAGCTACCTAAAATTGTTCTAGGGGACAAAATGCATAACCAACTCAACAGGTTCAACTGGACAAACTTTTCAATCACGCTTAATTGGTTGACCTGGTTAAATAATCACACTAGCAAAAACAGCAAAACTGCAAAAATTGCACAATCTATATTGAATGGTTGACGTAGTTTATATGGTCAAACTAGCTGAAAATACTTAACTGGAAAAAATGCAACACTAGCTTAAATGGTTTAACTGCACAGCCTAATTTAATTAGTTCAACTGGTTTAAATAGTCAAATTGGCAAAATGATTTGAGTCGCTCAAATTTTTCAAGCCATCTTAATTGGTTAGGTTGTTAAATGACACTTGCCTCGATGGTTTAACTTGACAAAGTGCGTAACTAGCTTTAATGGTTCAATTGAACCAAATGCATAACTGGGTCAAATGATTCAACTTCATAATGTGTACAATGAAGCTTAATTGAATCCAGTAGTTAAAATGGTCTAACTATGTAAATTGATTCAACTGGTTAAATAGTCAAGCAAGGGAACACAGTTAAAATGCACAAATTGGACAAACTATCTTCATTAGTTCATGTAGTTTTAATGGTCAGACTAGCTTAAAGTTAGGGTTTAATCGTACAAAAGCATAACTGGCTTAAATACTTTAACTGGTTAAAAAGCCAATCTAGCGAATACAGTTAAACTGAAAAAACTATAAAAAGTGGAAAAAGTGGAAAAAGTTAAACTGCGCAAAATGCACAGAGTAGGAGAGTGGGCTCAATTGGCTGTTTAGAGCCTTAAGTAATGGAAAAAACAACGGTTTAGCTCTTTTGTTGCTAAATTATCCTGTTTTTAACCTTATCACACCAAAACGTTTTGTCGCAGTGAAAAAAGGTTTTTGCATATGTAGGGGGCACCCCACCCCCACTAAGTCACTTGGTCATGTGATCTGCGACCACGAGGTCGAGAGAAAAACCGAAGTCGAAGAGAAGATATTAAAAGTTGTTTCATTGTGTTCAGTGTTTTAATCTTTAATTCGGTTGGACTTCGACAACACCACTAACATTTGGCGAGCCCGCCAGGATTGTCACTCAGGCACATTTTGCCTGAATGTAGTGACGAGATGAAACTGTGGAGCCTTGTAGTTCGCTTTTGCGAACAGATGAGTCTTACGCGTCGTGATAGCTTGGTGGATGTGCATGTGGACGATGGTATGTGTTATGCCAGTGAATGGAAAGTTCAAGACAAGTCACATTTTAAATGAAAATGCTTTCTGGCCTTGTGTAATTTCTTCGAGAAGCGTGGTACGAGTGTAAATGCTGAGGTAACGAGCAAGTTGTTTCGTCTGTTTATCTTTGTTTATCTCTGGAAACCAATATGGCGACGGAAAGCGAAATTGAGGAGCTTCAACTCGAATTGGAAGCCAAAGTTTGTGGTCTTGATGTTGATGCACTGGGACAGCTAGCTGAACATCTAGAACTAGAGAAGGGAAAGCTAGGAAGGTTGCAGCTGTCGAAGCGAGTCCGTGAGAAAATAGAGCTAGATGTGAGCGAAGCAGACGATAAGAAGACACTGCTGGTCGGCCTCCTCGCATTTGTGAAGGAAAAACCACCTCCGCTCGAAGATGATAAAACAAAAATAACACCGACGAAAGTAAAAATTGAACGAACTGACCCAACAGAAAAAGCATCCGAGAAAGCACAAGGGGCAGAAACGAAGGTAAATGTTGATGTTAGTAAGGTGTTTAGGCGGGAGTTCAAGATTCATGGCGTTGTGGCGGGAGATAATTTTAAGGATGGGCTGTTAGTTTGGTGCGGCCGATAGAATCTGGGATAAAGGCGGGCTATAAAGAGAGTGAGATTGTAGAAGCTGTCATTCATGCAGTAAGTCCAAGCCTTAACTTGAGATCTTACTTGGAGATGATACAGGATCTATCCTTGTCTCGCTTAAGGCAGATTATGAAATCACATTTTAAGCAAAGTCAGCAACGGAACTGTATCAGGAACTATCTATCTTACACCAGGAAGCAAATGAATCTCCCCAAGATTTTCTTGTGCGGGCCTTAAACTTAAAACAGCAGATTATTTTTGTGTCAAATGCCGCTGATGGTTCCATCAAGTATGAGCTCTCTCTTGTCCAAGCATTGTTCCTCCATGTAGTAGAAACAGGGTTACAAGATGAATCAGTTAGAGCTAAATTGCGCCCTTTACTGGAAGTAGCTTTTGTAACTGATGAACAACTTATGGAAAGGGTTCACCGGATTATGTCGGCAGAGGCAGAACACCAGAATAAGACGGGTGTGGCTGGCAGGAAAGGGGCAAGGGTTAACCAGGTTGAAACTGCTTCGTCTCCAAGTAACCAAACCCAGCTAAATTCAAGTCCAGCACCCCAGGGTGAGAGTAGTAAGTCCCAGAAAAAGGAGCCAAAACCAAATGCTCTGGTGACAGCATTTGAAGCACTGCAGTCAAATCTTGCCTCCCTGAAAGAAGCCTTTGACAGAGTCAGTGCGCCAGTGGAGAGGAATCCTACTCTACATTATGTATCTGGTAACCGGTCACAGTTTCAGTGGTGTCAGTGTAGTTCATGTAGCGCAGCAGGTGTAGACAACTGAGATCATTGCTTCAAATGTGGCTCAACAGATCATTTTGCACGAGGATGTAGAAGGGTGTCAGGAAACGGGAGAAGGTTGCATCAGCGGGACAGGGTGTAGTTGGAGCGAACTTGTCCCACCATGTCTGAAGGTTCTGTGGAAGCAAAGAGGGTACCTCCTCTTTCAAGCAGTGTAGTGATTGTAAAGCTGTCAGCTATTGTTCAAGGAAATGTCAACAGAAACACTGGAGACAACATAAGACACTTTGCCAGGCCATATCCTCTTTGGAAGAGCGAAAATGCAGAGAAGACAGAGAGAAGACAGGTGTCTTTGTAAGCCATTTGTCACCACAGGAGCATGCCCAGGTAGTTCGTCTTGTGGGGCGTAAATGTACTGTCAAATGTGTGCTTAATAGGTTTGAGACTGATGCCCTCTGGGATACTGGAGCTCAAGCGTCTATTATTTCGCGTAGTTGGTTGAAGCGGTGTCTTTCAGGTTGTGACATTCGAGACATGAAAGAGTTGTTGCACTCTCAAGATTGCCAATGGATATTGATTCTTACATGAAATTGTGTACTGAAAATGTGTCCGAGGGTGATACCAAGGCATGTTGCGTGGGAGTAGGAGCATAGGGACGAGGAGAGACAATCTGGGTGTCTGCAATAAGCAATGATTCCAGCTTGTTCAACATGGAAGAAGTATCTATTGGTCCTAGTCTGGATAAAATTAGTACAAAATCCATTCTTGACGCTCAGATACAAGACCAGGTGGTAGGAAGACTCCTCGCTTTCTTAAAGACAGGAAAATGGCCTAAGTCGTGGGAGATTAAACATGAATTACCGGCCACAAGGGTGTTACTGAGACAGCGACGCAAACTCTACTGTGATAAAGATGGCCTGTTGTTTAGAAGGAGTGGACTATACTCGCAGTTGGTGCTACCTCAGAAGTTCCACACTATTGTCTTCAAAGAATTTCATCAGGGAATGGGACATTTAGGAGCCCCTCATGTAGTTCAGTTGGCATGTGAACGCTTCTACTGGCCCAACATGGAAGATGAGATCACTCATTTCGTGACCAAAGTTTGCCCATGTCTTAAACAGAGACAGCCAAACCTGTCTACAAGAGCTCCATTACGTAGTGTGACTACCTCCTATCCTTTTGAATTAGTTCAATTGACTTTTAACATTCGGAGCCAAGTTCTGGTGGTTATGAATACATCTTAGTTATCATTGACCACTTTACTCGTTTTGGACAAACATATGTAACAAAGAATAAGTCGGCCACAACTGCGGCTGATCGCTTGTTTAATGACTTTGTACTACGATTTGGTTTCCCAGCAAAGATCCTTCATGATCAAGGACGGGAGTTAGAGAACAAACTCTTTCACAGATGGGAAAAGCTCAGTGGCATAACACGCCTTCGAACAGCACCCTTTCACCCCCAAGGGAACGGAAAGGTAGAAAGATTTAACAGAACATTGTTGCATATGTTACGAACTCTCCCAGAGAAAAAGAAACACAAGTGGAAGGACTCACTTTAAACAAAGTAATATATGCTTACAATGCCACTAGAAATGACGCGACTGGGTTTTCTCCTTTCTATTTATTGTTTGGACGCTCACCAAGCCTCCCGGTTGACCTCATGTTTGGACTTTCACGTGAAGAAACTGGTATGAATCATTCAGAGTACACCGAGAAATGGAAAGTTGCGATGAAAGAGGCTTATGAAATGGCCAGGCAGAATATCTCCAAGTCAGCGGGTGATGCAAAGAAGCAGTATGACCGAAAAGTACGGTTCTCCAATTTACAGCCAGGGGACCGTGTGTTAGTACGTAACGTCTCAGAGCGTGGTGGTCCTGGGAAGTTAAGGTCTCATTGGGAGCAAGAAGTACACATTATAGTGGAGCAAAAGGGTGACCTACCTGTATATGAAGTAACACCAGAAGGGTGGAAAGGCAAATCAAGAACACTTCACAGAAATCTTCTGTTGCCTTGTGACTTCTTGCAAAGTGATTTGCCAGAACCTGTTCCCCAGCGTACCCTGACCCAAGAGAGAAGGAGAAAATCAGTCCCTGCTAACCAACAAAAAAAGAGGTTCATCGTCATGGTAGTGACAGTGGAGATGAAGGGGAGTTCCCTGGCTTCTCACTCACTGAGTTGGAAATGTTGCAGTTCCCCACACCATTAGCAGAAACTGACAATCGTGAACAAGAGCAGTTGGATGGTACCCCAGAAGAATCGTTGCCTGACGATGCGGAGGATTTGTCAGAACATGATGAGGGCACACCAGTCACGGAAGACTGTTCTCTGTCTCTCTCTGCAACAGAAGGGGAACCCTCACTTCAGCAAGAGCCAGCGGGACCTCGGAGTTATCCTGTGCGAAACCGCCGTCCTCCAAATGTTCTTTGCTATGACCATCTTAGAAATCCAAGCTACCATCCCAACATTACATTGAGTAATCCAGCGACAACTGCCAGTGTTTCTGCTTATTCCCCATGGATGTCTGCTGTACCTTACAGAACCTTCGCTATGTCTCATTATTGGGTGACACTTTATCATGTGCCAGTGTACCTATCGCCAGCCAATCGCCTAACTTTAGCTTTATTTTACTGAAACAAACGTTTTTGCTTTCTGTGGAATAAAGCTAAGGAATCGCGACATTCAGTGGCGTTCAACGTTTTGAGCAAGATAAAGCTGAAATTAATGGGATTAGCTAGAAACAGGCAGAAAACCTCTTTTTTCGGTGCAATAAAACTAGAAACAGCTTAATTCAACAGCAACCAAGCGCACGAATGTTTTCGTGTGATAGAGCTGAAAAGAGCATTATTTGAGATTATGCTTAGAATCAGCATGAGTAGTAGCAAACAGGTGAAAACCCTTTTTTCCAGTGCTAAAAAGTTTAAAACAGTGTAATTTAGGAACAAAAGGGCAGAAACATCATACCTCTAATGACATTTAGCCAGTTGAGCCATTAAAGCTACTTATGCGTTTTGTCTAGTTTAACCATTTCAGCTAGTTCTGAATTTTGTGCACTCTGATAATTTAAGATCAATTGACCATTTGAACTAGTCTAACCAGTTGACATAGAGTCTGTTGACTGTGCAGTTATACTGTTTGCAATAGTTTGACTAGTTTACTGTTTGAACTATTTAACCTAGTTATGCATTTTTTCCAGTTGAACTTTTAAAGCTAGTTTCATTATTTGAACTACTGCAACCAACTTAGATAGCATTGTTCAATTTGTGTATTTAGCCATCTTCACCGGCTTGACTATTTGATCGTTTTTGACTAATAAATAAAACTACCGAAAACAACTAAACTGCAAAAATTGCACAGTCTATCTTAACTGGTTGAACTAATGCAAATGGTCAAACAAGCTTAAATTGAATTTAATTAACTAGTTGATTAATTTATGAACTAACTTGAATTAGTTGAGGTAGTTGAAGTGGTTCAACTGTACAAAATGCATAAATAGCTTAAATAGTTCCATTGCGCAAACTGCGTAACCAGGCGCAAGTTTTTTAACTGGTTAAGATAGTGGTGTAACACCAGGGGATTTTTACGCATATTCACCAGATATCACTGGTTCTGTCTTGTTGTTATTGTGCGGTCATTTTGCGCTGGCTTTTTCATATAATATTTTATCATTTCCTGGAATCCATATGTTATCATAATTTTTGGAAACTCTTTGATTTTTTATCCAATGTATTGGTATACATGGAATATCAGCAAGTATATCCAGATGATAGTGGTTATCATGGTAGTCAAGATGGTGATTATGTACATGGTAGTCCAGACGACTATTCAGATAGTAATGATAGTTATGACAGTAGCTTTAAAGATGATAGTGAACTGGACGATGATGCTACAATTTTAAGGAAACCAAGGATAACCCCTGATAATATTTAAAGATATATTTATGTAATATCATATAATGTATTGCAATAGAATAGTTCATGATAAATTGGATAAAGTTATATCTCCATTCTGTTATAAACAAACATTGGAACGATCAGTCATAGTAGAAAAATGTTGGGAGAAACAGTATGGGGTAATGTTTAATCTAAGTAAATAGTATTACATAATAATAACCACATAGAACAAAAATAAGATCATAGCAGTCTTTGAAAAGATAAACAATGTATTACCGCAGATCAATGCGAATCAATATAGATTCCATAAAAATAACCAAATCAAAGAAAACCCTTTAATATTATCATCGCTACTGGAACAATATTTTGAAACTAATTAGTGATGACCACAACAAAATGCTTAATAAATAATTAACCACAAGTACACTACTTCTCGTACTGTTGCTCGAAAGCATCAACCAATAAACACATGTCTATGATAATATGATCTACAGTTTTCAACTGGTCCAAAAAACTATCCTCATCAAAAGAAACTCTTAAAAAGAACCTTAAGTTAATGAGTGTCTTTACATAGGTAATAAAAGGAAATCGACATAATTCGATCTTCTTTTTAAAATCTTTCATTTCACAGTACGTTTTTAACATCAATGCACTACCAGGTATAATGCCAACTACGATGGGACTCGTAGTTGCCCCTCCAGCTATAGTACCACCTACTATTAAACAAGATGATGATAAATTGCATAACAGATCTAGTGTCTTGAACCTCTTTTGGCTCTATTAAACAACCGAAGCTTCTTATGATAGTATTTGTGTAATTTTTTTTTATTAGTTACCTTTTTGTTTAATGATTTATCCATATAACAGTCCTCTTTTTCAAGCTCATATATGGCATGTTTACATTAATCAGATATTCCTTTATCATGAACTTAGCATAAAACCCACCATCGAGGGTGCCACTATCCACACCAAATGGTGTGGAATGACCAGTAAATGCTCCAAATATCCCAAAAAAGTACCATCTATCCATTTATTGTTTGTATTTTGTGTGAATACAGTGTATTGCTTTCTAATGGATCTAAAAGTATCACGTGCTATACAGTAGAAACTTGGTTCAGGCCTCTTGCAAACATATCTGTAATAAAATTCATATGTTCCATCAACGTCAAACGTGAAATGTAAGTAATTAAAAACACCATATTTTGATCTTGATTTAAAGAATTTGGTTTCCTCCTCATTATCTTGTCCCATGTCACGATTTAAAAACGTATACAGGTTCAATTACCTGTGTTGTTTTATTTGCAGCATCATTACCGTTTATTGTTGTACTAAATTGATTATTTTTTAAAATTGGACCTATTAAAATCAGCGGACATTGGTTTTGTTCAATCAGTTTTCAAGAAATTGTTTGTTTGTGTGTCCACGTATGATTTATTTACATCATCGTTAGCATCACTTGGTGTGGCTAAATGGATTATTTTTTTAGTAGCCATATTCAAATCAGCAGCCATTGCAGTCTTTCCATCAGACCCAAAATCTCCTTTATCACCTTTGTCACCTTTTGGACCCTGTGGCCCAGTGTCTCCCTTCAATCCTCTCAGACCTTCCAAAACCTGCTGGACCACGTATACAGATTACTCTGTTTTGTCTTGTATCAGTAGCAGCAAAAATACGCATATATAATACATGAGTATACTTGTTTGACCAATTTATTAATAAGAATCTGATTGTAAGAACCACCATCGGACATTTCTTGAGCTGTTTGAATCCTTACTTCAAATTCAGCTGTTACACAAATGAGATAAACAATAAAAATGGATTTCATTAATACGAGATATATTAAGAGTTACATGACCAGTTGCTGTTTTGAAAGAGAAATGGGCGCTATTTGATATTAAATCACTAGCTCCACTCGTGAGCAATCCTACTATTTGACTATTCTTATGTGAAAGGCTATTACAGTAAAAAAATTAAACACTCTTAGTTTTATCATCAAACACTTTCTTTGTAATAGGATTATCATCATCAACTGCATCTTGTATCTTAACTCTTTGGTCATTTTAACTTACCTACTGTGAGGAAATTAAGAGTACCATTGGTTATTTCAGATTTTTTATCCCTCACATTAGGTGGAACGTCACTATGATATCCCAAGATGCCATAAACTATGTTGCGAATGACTTCATCTTGTGTATAAGCCACACCTGACTTATTCTTCGATACTAAATCCATCATCAGGTAACTAGGTGTTACATTATTGTGCTTGTGCGTATGAACCAGTGATCTGGTATGATCTGCAGATTTATCAATTGATACCCAGGAAATTGTCTCAATACTACTTGTGGCTAATATGTCAACTGATGGATGGTCAATAGATGCAGAGGGGAAGTATAATATCAAATACCACCATATATTCACCAGTTCTAAGTTCATATATGTTTGTGCTATCCAAGTGGAGTCTTATCTCATAGATTTTTTATTGAACTGATAAAAGTCTTGATCAATGAATTTAACCCCTGTTAGGTCATCTGTATTACTGAACTGCCCTCTTTTATTCATGATATATGAAAATGTGTTTTACAATCTTCACTACCACAGACAGATTTAATCTGTCATTAACATACTTCTGATAACTAGTTTTCATTAGTGTGTTAGTATTGTTGATAGTTGTATTGAAAAAATCGGCATCCGCAGCATGAGTGCTCTCATGTGCCTATGCTCGTTTTACATTAATTATACCTTTACTCTTCAGATTCAAATTACCACTCATTGCTCTTGTGCCATCGGTTTTCAAATAATTGCTTGTTTCTGTATCAAAACACTTTTTAATGCTTCCATCTGCTGCACTTATTGGGTCTGCTACATTAATCACCTTATTGCCTTTCATATCAAGACCTTTTGATAAGTCTAAAGTAAAAGTTTTACTGTCAACACATTTCTTGTTGACCACATCTTTATCACCGTTATCACTACTGTTATAATCTGGTATTAACAACCTGCTTTTTAATGTTTGGGGTAACAGATTATCCATATCTATTTTATTGTCTGTGATGTGTTTCATCTGCCTGAAGGTTACAGCTTCATCATCATATTGTGCTCTACTGAGGTCATAAATGGTCTTACCATCACCATCCCATCTGATACCAATTCCCAATTTCAACAATTGGTTATCTTCACTTTCTTTTTTCTGTATGTTGTCTTACTAAATACCTTATTAACAGCATCAGTATTTAAAGAGGGTGTATGCAAGGTCTTATTACGGTTGTTACTCGTGTTTATATTGCCTTGGAAAGTCTCAGAGCCACTCAGTATGTTGTTTGCAATGGTATCAACATCCTTGTTATTACTGGCATTTGTTGCACCCGATGGATCCCCAAGATTAACAACCTTTTCATTATTAGTATGCAAAGAACCTGTCATATCCGAGTTCCATAAAATAATAAAACAGTTTAAAAGGTATGCAGAATCATCATTACCAGATGGCCGCTGTGGTCCTGTATCACCTTCATCTTTGTTAGGTCCTTGTGCTCCAGTGTCCCTTCTGTCATGTTTTTGATTCTAACGGACATGTGTTAAAATAATGCATAACTGCGCATGTTCACAGTGTATTGGCCACTGGCCAAAAGCACCACAACTCTTCCCCAATAGCTAGTGCATGCAATATGGTAACTAATAGGGATCTGAAACGTGAAATCAAACACGTCAAGCCTATCGAAATAAGAAAAGTCTTAATGTCACTTCAAAGTTCATAAATCCAGCCCAGCTGGCGGCTTCTGCACTCGGACTGGTTATCGTCTAACAGGAACATGTTCAGGAACAGGCTCACTAAAATTTGGTGGACTGCTGACTGCAAGGTCAGCCACTGGACTTGGTGGGGGAATATCAGCCTCCATGCTGGCTGTCCACGGGGTTCAGACACTGGATCCCCACGACTCTCAAACTGGATTGGAAGTTCTGAGGTCTGGGTAACAGGATTGTTGCTTGGTGTCACTGAAATTCTGGTATCCCTCAGTTGGTCTGTTGTGTCGATGCCAAACTAAGCCAGGTTTGACTGCTGCCTCGTAAGAAAGGGGGCCAAGTTGTGTTTGGATGATGCCAGATACCCACTTTGTACTAATAGTATAATTTCGTGCTGTCACTGTCTGACCGACGGAGAATTCTCTGGTTATAGCACCACCCTTTGGTCTATCTGATGGTTGCATATCTACAAGTGGAGATCTGGTTTCAGCAAGTCCAGTCAAGTGAGTAGTTATCCACCCAAAAGTAGTTGAGTTGGTGCTTCTCCAGTGGTTAAATGGGGGTAATTCTTTAAGCTAGCAAGAACGTTGCCAGCTTAATGTTCAGAGGTTTTACTTCAATTTCACTTTTCATGGCTGATTTGAAACTCTGCACACAGTGCTCAGCTAGACCATTGCTGGCAGGATGGTAATGTGCAGATGTCAGATGTTGGATTCTGTTTCTCTTGTGGAACATCTGAAACTCTTCAGATTTAAACTTTGTCCCATAGTCACTAGCTAACTGGGATGGCACACCATATCTAGCAAATAAACTCTGCAATGGTTTGCGTTGAGGTCACGGTGTCCATTTTTTCTGTTTCCAATCGTCTGTAATGGGCATCCATGACAATCAAAAACATGCACCTGAGGAAAGGTCCTGCAAAATCAACATGGATTTGCTGCGAGGGTGCCGATGGCCATTCCCATGAACACAACAACTGGATTCAACCTGCATTAGCTGGCAACCTAAGCAGGTCTTTCCGGTTTCCTCGATTTCCTTGTCAATTCCTGGCCACCGGATGTAGCTTCTTGCTAGGGCCTTTATCTTTACCACTCCAAGATCTCCTTGATGGTGTTCTTCAAGCACTTGTGGACGAAGTTTTGGGGTTACTGACTCTGACTCTCCACATCAAACAGCCTGAGTGTACTGTTATCTCATTCCTGTGAGCGTGGAAGGGGTGGAGTACAGGAGGATGGCTGCTTAGCCTTCCTTTAGTCATCATCTCATGGACTGGACTCAAGACAGGGTCCCTTTTGGTTTCTCTCCGGATATTGTCAACTGTGATTGCTAACAGCTCAAACTGTATCACGTTGAAAACATTCACTGAATCCACAATCTCTTCTGCTCTGTCTTTGGTTTAAAGTGGTGGCCGAGAAAGGCCATCTGCATTGCTTCTTACTTTAGTGTTCTTGTACTCGATTTTGTGGTCATAGCCAGCCAGGAATAATGCATAGCACTGAAGCCTGGCTGCTGTAACCACTGGAATGCTCTTGTGAGGATGGAAGATGTATGTTAATGGCTGATGATCAGTGTACAGGGTGAAAGACTGGCCAAACAAATACAGATGGAACTTCTTGACTCCCCAGATTATTGCTAGGGCTTCTTTGTCAGTTTGTGCGTACCCTTGCTCAGTTCTTGTGAGTGTCCTGGAAGCAAAAGCAATGGGTCGCTCGCTCCCATCATTCATCACATAGAATAGCACGGCACCAATTTCCACGGGGGGGTGCATCACAAGCAAACCTCAGTGGCAGACTGAAATCATAATGTGTTAATACTTGCTTTGAGGTGATCATTTCTTTCATGTTGTGGTATGCTGTTTCCCATTGTGCCGTCCATTTCCACTGATGGTTGTTCTCTAACAACTGGTTTAAAGGGTGTACCACTGTTGACAGGTTGGGAAAGAATCTTTGTAGTAATTGACTAGCCCCAGGAACGACCTCCCTTCAGCCTCATTGCATGGGTGAGGCGCTTTCAAAACTGCTTCCACTTTCTCTGGTGACTTGTGGAGACCATGGCTGTCAATACCACGTTCACAGAGGGTACGTGCCTCCTCTGAAGAACTTGCACTCTGTCTTACTTGCTCTTTACCCATGAGCCTGCAAATGACGTGAAACCTCTTCTAGGTCGATAAGATGCTCTTCCTCATTCTTTCCAGTGATGATCATATCATCAAGGATACAGCTTCTTCCAGACGTTCCTTCTCACACTTGATCAATGGTGCACCTCCAGATAGCAAGTGCAGAAGTGATGCCAAACACTAGTTAGTTGTACTGAAACAGTCCCATATGGGTGTTGATAGTGCGGTATTTCTTTGAATTTTCTTCCATTTCTAATTGGTGGTATGCTTGGCAGAGGTCAACGTTTGAGAATTTCTGCCCACCAGCAAGGTTTGCAAATATGTCTTCAGTGCGAGGAAGAGGGTACTTCTCTGCTTTTAGTTCTGGACTCACCATGACCTTGTAATCACCGAAAAGTCTGATGGAACCATCTTTCTTGGTGACAGGCACAATCAGTGTGACCCAGTCACTCCACTTCACTTCAGTGAGAATACCTTCATTCTGGAGTCTTCGCAGTTCTTCCTCCACCTTTGGCTTTAAGGCATATGCAATCGGTCTGGACTTAAGGAGGCGTGGTTGGCTATCGTCTTTGAGATTTAACTTTGCCTCTATGAAATGAAACTCCGTTTTTAATAGCGTAAAATTGTATGAACTTAGAAGTGGTGAATATATGGTGGTATTTGAATTACATTTCCTCTCTGCATCTCTTGACCATCCATCAGTTGACAAATCAGCTACAAGTAGTATTAAGACAATTTCCTGGGTGTCAATAAATCTGCAGACCATACCAGATCATTGGTTCATATACACAAGTACAATAGTATAGCACCTAATTACCTGATGATGGATTTAGTGCTGAAGAATAAATCAGGTGTGGCTTATTCACAAGATTAAGCCATTCGTATCATGGTTTATGGCATCTTGGGATATCATAACGATGTTCCACTTAGTGTGAGGGATAAAACGTCTAAAATAACCAATGGTACTCTCAATGTCCTCACATTGGGTGAGTAAAAATGACCGAGGAGTTTACATACAAGATGCAGTTAATGATGATAATCCTATCACAAAGAAAGTGTTTGATGATTAAAATAAGACTATTTATTTTTATTGTAAAAACCTTTCACATAAGAATAGTACCATAGTAGGATTTCTCACAGGTGGAGCTAGTAACTTAATATCAAATAGCGCCCATTTCTCTTTCAAAACATCAACTGGTCATATAACTCTTAACATATCTGGTATTTATGAAATCCATTTTAAAGAAATTTTTTTTATCCCTTGAGTGTAACTGCTGGATTTGAAGTAAGGATTCAAACAGCTCAAGATATGTCG